TCGTTTGTTTGTTTGTTTCTTTGTTCGTTTGTTTGTTCGTTTGTTTGTTCGTTTGTTTGTTCGTTTGTTTGTTCGTTTGTTTGTTCGATAGTTTGTTCGTTTGTTTGTTAGTTTGTTTGTTAGTTTGTTCGTTTGTTCTTTTCTTTGTTCGTTTGTTTGTTTGTTCGTTCGTTTGTTCATTTGTTCGTTTGTTTGTTCGTTCATTTGTTTGTTCGTTCTTTCGTTTGTTCGTTCGTTCGTTCGTTCGTTTGTTCTTTCGTTTGTTTATTTTTTCGTTCGTTTGTTCATTTGTTCGTTTTTCGTTCGTTCGTTCGTTTGTTCTTTTGTTCGTTTGTTTGTTCGTTTGTTCGTTTTTCGTTTGCTTGTTCGTGCGTTTGTTCGTTCGTTTGTTCGTTTTTTTGTTCGTTTGTTTGTTTATTCGTTCGTTTGTACGTTTGTTCATTTGATCGTTTGTTCGTTTATTCGATTATTCGTTTATTCGTTTATTCGTTTGTTCGTTTGTTTGTTCGTCTGTTCGTCTGTTCGTGTGTTTGTTCGTTTGTTCGTTTGTTTGTTCGTCTGTTCGTGTGTTTGTTCGTTCGTTTGTTCGTTTGTTCGTTCGTTTGTCTTTTCGTTTGTTCGTTCGCTTGTTTGTTCGTTTGTGCGTTTGATCGTTCGTTTATTCGTTCGTTCATTCGTTTGTTCGTCTGTTCGTTCGTTTGTTCGTTTGTTCGTTCGTTTGTTCGTTTTTTCGTTTGTTTGTTCGTTGGTTCGTTCGTTCGTTTGTTCGTTTGTTTGTTCGTTTTTTGTTCGTTTGTTCGTTTGTTTGTTCGTTTGTTGGTTTTTCGTTTGTTCGTTCGTTTGTTCGTTTGTTTGATCCTTCACTTGTTCGACGTGCTGGGTCGATCCCTCTCTTGATCGACTCTCTGGGTGAAACCCTAAATTGATTGACTGAATGGGTCGATCCTTGACTTGATCGACATAATGAGACGATCCCTTACTTGATCGACTTGCTTGTCGATCCCTCAATCGATCGACTTGCTGGGTCAATACCCCTTTTGATCGACATGCTGGGTCAATACCTCTTTTGATCGACATGCTGGGTCAATACCCTTTTTGATCGACATGCTGGGTCAATCAGTACTTGATCGACTTGCTGGGTCGATCAGTACTTGATCGACTTGCTGGTTTGATCCCCCACTTCATTGACTTGCTGGGTTGATCCCCCACTTGATCGACTTGCTGGCTCGATCCCCACTTGATAGACTTGCTGGGTCGATCCCTAATTGATCGACTTGCTGGGTCGATCCCTCACTCGATCGACTTTCTGGTTCGATCCCCCACTTGATCCACATGTGGGTCGATCCCCCACTTGATCGACTTGCTGGATCGATCCCCCACTTGATCGACTTGCTGGGTCGATCCTCCACTTGATCGACTCACTGGGTCGATCCCTCACTTGATCGACTTCCTGGTTCGATCCCCTACTTGATCGATTTGCTGGGTCGATCCTTCTTTTGATCGACTTGCTGGGTCGATCCCTCACTTGATCGACTTGCTGGGACGATCCCCCACTTTATCGAATTGCTGGGTCGATCCCTCACTCAATCGACTTGCTGGGTCGATCCCCAACTTAATCGACTTGCTGGGTCAATCCCTCGTTTCATTGACTTGCTAGGTCGATCCCTCACGTGATCGTTTCTCTGGGTCGTTCCCTCACTTGATTGACTTGCTGCGGCTATCCTTCACATGATGGACTTGCTGGGTCGATCTCCCACTTGATCGACTTGCTGGGTCGATCCCCCACTTGATCGACTTGCTGGGTCGATCCCGCACTTGATCAACTTGCTAGCTCAATCCCTCACTTGATCGACCTAATGGTTCGATCTCCCACTTGAACGACTTGCAGGGTCGATCCCCCACTAGATCGACTTGCTGGGCCGATCCCTCACTTGATCGACTTCCTTGGTCGATCCCCTATTGATTGACTTGCTGGGTCGATCCCGTACTTGATCGACTTCCTTGGTCGACCATCACTTGATTGACTTGCTGGGTCGATCCCTCACTTGATCGACTCTCTGGGTCGATCCCTCACTTGATCGATTTGTTGGGTCGATCCCTCACTTGATCGACTTACTGGGTCGATGCCCCACTTGATCGACTCTATGATTCGATCCCCACTTGATCGACTTGCTGGTTCGATCCTTCACTTGATCAACTTACTGGGTCGATCCCCCACTTGATCGACTTTCTGGGTCGATCCCCCACTTACTCGACTTGCTGGGTCGATCCTTCACTTGATCAATTTTCAGGGTCGATCCCCCACTTGATCGACTTTCTGGGACGATCCCTTACTTGATCGACTTGCTGGGTCGATCCCCCACTTGATCGACTTGCTAGGTCGATCCCTCACTATACGACTTGCTGGTTCGATCCCCCACTTGATCGACTTGCTGGGTCGATCCCTCACTCGATCGACTTGCTTGCTCGATCCCCACTTGATGGACGTGCTGTGTCGATCTCTCACTTGATCAACTTTCTGAGTCGATCCCTCACTTGATCGACTTGCTGGGTCGATCTTTAACTTGATTGATTTGCTGGGTCGTTCCCTCACTTTATCGACTGGCTGGGTTTATTCCCACTTGATCGACTTGCTGGGTCGATCCTTTACTTTATCAACTTGCTGAGTCGATCCTTCACTTGATCGACTTGCTTGGTCGATCTCTCACTTGATCGACTTGCTGCGTCGATCCCTCACTTGATTGACTTGCTGGGTCGATCCCTCACTCGACTTTCTGGTTCGTTCCCCCACTTGATCGATTTGCTGGGTCGATCCCTCACTTGATCGACTTGCTGGGTCGATCCCTCACGTGATCGTTTCTTTGGGTCGTTCCGTCACTTGATCGACTTGCTGCGTCTATCCTTCACATGATGGACTTGCTGGGTCGATCTCCACTTGATCGACTTGCTGGGTCTATCCCCACTTGATCTATTTGCTGGGTCATTATCCCACGTGATCGTCTCTCTGTGTCGTTCCCTCACTTGATCGACTTGCTGGGTCGATCCCGCACTTGATCAACTTGCTAGTTCAATCCCTCACTTGATCGACCTAATGGTTCTATCTCCCACTTGAACGACTTGCAGGTTCGATCCCCCACTTGATCGACTTGCTCTGTCGATCCCTCACTTGATCGACTTGCTGGTTCGATCCCTCACTCGATCGACTTGCTGGGTCGATCCCCCACTCGATCAAACAAATTTATTTTATATGAAAATAACTTACCAAGTACGCTGGGATAAGTAATGATTCATACTATATTTCGATGCTTGTTACGGCTTTGGAGTCAGGATACAGCCCCCGAGACCGCTATTGTACCACTTTTTTAAAATTTGAAGTCGTAGGCTTCCTCGGCCAGAGTCATGTGCATTATCTTAGCTGTCCGGGACGCCACGTTGAAGATTGTTGCCGATGTTTCGCCCATCTTGTCGTGGTCTTACCATGACCATACCATCAGATGTATGGGCATACAGCCCTGAGGAAGACCACGACAAAATGGTCGAAATGTCGGCAAAACAGCCTTGGACGCGACGTCACCCAGACAGCCCAGATAATGCATTTTTTTAAAAATTTGTCCGAAAATACGAAAACATTTTTAAAATTAGCTTCGACTATTTTAGTTGGGAAAAGAGATTCACCAGA